GCCCAACGAAGCTCTCTATGGTGTCCTTAGGATATCCAGGCTGATCACCTGGACGTGCCTGCATAACATTCGCAACAGTTTCGATGTCAATTTATTCTTCCGACATGGCAACCGGCTAAGCCAAGAACCGGACAGACTTTTTACTATTTTTTGCAATCAATGCGTGTGTACGGCGACCGGGTAAGCCAAGAACCGGACGGATTGTTTATTTGGAGCTTATGTGGCTTTTTGGAATCTGGTTTTAATGTCCACGATCAACGCCTTCGGAAAACCTTCAACTTATTCGCAAGTTTCATCGAAGAGATCTACCCTAGGTCATTGTTTCTAATCCAATTGCATGTCAGGGGATTCAGTTCCCAACGGATCCATTAAAAATCCTTTCTAGTCTAGTGTGTGTGTGTGAAAGTTGTGTGTGACGAAGTCGTGTGTGGGTAAGTTGTGTGTGATCAAGTTGTGTGTGAGGAAGTTGTGTGTGGGTAAGTTGATGTAAGTTGTGTACGAGGAAGTTGTGTGTGAGGAAGTTGTGTGTGGGTAAGTTGTGTGCGAGGAAGTTGTGTGTGAGGAAGTTGTGTGTGGACAAGTTGTATGTGAGGAAGTTGTGTGTGAGGAAGTTGTGTGTGGACAAATTGTGTGTGAGGAAGTTGTGTGTGGACAAGTTGTGTGTGTGAAAGTTGCGTGTGAGCAAGTTGTGTGTGGACAAGGTGTGTGTTGGCAAGTTTTGTGTGAGCAAGTTGTGTGTGAGGAGGAGGCAGCGCGCGGGAGTGCACAACCAAAAACACGAACACCACACAAAGATGTGTGGTGGAAAATGCACGCCGTTGTGGTGCGAAGCGCGTTTGGAACTCAAAATGCCAAAACATCTCATGGTCGGATCACTTTTGGCAGTTGGGACGTTCAAAGTGCACGCCTGTGTACCACTACCACTACCATTACCACTACTACTACTCCTACTACTACTCCTACTACTCCACCTACTACTCCACCTACTACTACTACTGCTGCTACTACTGCTACTGCT